GGGCGGCGACGGCGGCAACAAGGCGGCGGGGCCGACAAAGGATCCCCGACCACAGGTGGCAACGAGGCGGCGACGGGTCGGCGACGGCGGCAGCAAGGCGTCGGAGCCGACAAACGAGTTCAGTTTCCCTGGGCACAGAAGTAGGAAACCCGAAGTGCAAGCACTTTTTTGAGAACAGGTTGTTGTTTGGTGCCTTGCCGTGCCGATTTTGTCGAATGCGGAAAAATGGCAGTGCCATGCGTGTTTATTCAGAATGTAGAACAATTGACGTGCTGTGCCGTTTCGCTCTATTAAACAAGGGAAGAAGTTGCGGTGTCGTGCCGCGCCGTGCCGTTTTTTCGATTGAATGTTTTTCTTGGAATGCGCGAGCATTGCCGTGCCGTATTGGTTTTCGTAATGCAAGAATTGCCGTGCCGTGCGTCCTTTTCAGTACGCCAACAAATTGCCGAGCCGTGGCGTGACGCGACGTGCCGTGCTTGGTTGGTGCTAGGTTTTCAGAATGCGAGAAGGCTGCCGTGTCCAGCCGTGCCGTGCCTGGTTTCCAGAAGGCGAAAGGGTTGTCGTGATGTGCCGTGCGTGTTTTTTGTTGTTCTGGCGAGGAAGGTAGTTTTGATGATTGTTCTCATGATTATGATGATGCTGATGGTGATGATGATGAGGATGATGGTGCCGCTGCTGCGTTTGGTCATGGTCAGTACGATGATGGTGCTGATAGTGATGATGATGCTGATGATGATGATGACGGTGGTGGTGATGATGCTGATGATGATGCCGCTGCTGCTGAGGATCATGGTTGAGATGATGGCGATGGTGATGGCGATGGCGACGATGACATGATCGTGATGATGCCGCTGATGATGATGATCATGATGGTGGTGATCATGCTATGATGATGCTGATGATGATGTCGATAATGATAAAGACGATGATGATGTTGATGCTGATGGTGGCGACGATGACGATGACGCTGCTGCTGCCGCTGTTGCTGATGATGCTATGACGACCATGACAATGATGATGGCGATGACCGTTACGATGATGATGACGATGATGATGGTGATGCTGATACTGATGACGATGATGATGATGATGATGATGATGATGATGATGATGATGATGCTGCTGCTGATGATGATGATGTCGCTGCTACGTGTGGTCATGTTTAGTCTGATGATTGTGGTGATAGTGATCATGATGATGCTGATGATGATGACGACGGGGATGATGATGCCGCTGCTACTGATGAGCATGGTTGGTATGATGATGGCGATGGTGCTGATGATGGTGATGATGATGCTGCGGATGACGATGGTGGTCGTGGTGGTGGTGGTGGGATGATGCTGTTGATGATGATGATGATGCTGATGCTGATGATGATGATGATGATGATGATGATGATGATGATGATGATGATGCTGGTGATGATGAGGATCAGGAGGAGGATATGGATGACGATGAGGAGGAGGAGGAGATGGATGACGATAGCTACGATGATGGTGCTGATGAGGATGACGACTATGACGATGATGATGCTGATAATGCTGCTGATGAAGACGATGACGATGATGATGACGATTATGCTGCTGATGATGATGACGATGATGGTGGTGATGATGATGAGGATTATGATGATGGTGGTGGTGATGATGATGCTGATGATGATGGTGATGTGTAGTAGCACCATTAAGAGCAGTTGCAAGTTGATTAAGACTAGTAGCTGCAGTTCAACTGCTAGTTGCAGTATCAGTGGTAGTAATTGAAGGAGCGGACGTAAGAGAAGCAGGTGCGGATTGGAGGAGGAGGGTCGATTGTACCTTCTCGAGACCCGCCCAGTGTGTTGATGAGCGTCAACGTCACCGCTTCTGGCCTGTTTGCAGTGTCCCACGCCGAGCGGTTTCGCTCACCTCCGCTAAATCCACTGTCGGAGTCAGAGGGTTGCCGCTGACTCGAAACCATTCCAAGTTTCCTGCGTGTTGCCCGGATCGGGGCCAGCGAGCGTCGTTGCGCCTACCTCATCTTTCTCCTCTGCCTGGGCGACGGGTGTGCCCAGTGGTCGGCGGCGAGCCCAGTGGGGAGGTGAGAGGTGGCACGCCTTGCCAGAAGGCGGCTGGGCTTCACTGAAGCCCTGCGGCCTTCTGAGCCTTCTCCGAAGGCAGAGTCGGCTTGTCAGGAGGCCAGAGGGCTTCAGAGAAGCCCCGCCGCCTGTGAGAAGGCCTGCCCGCTCTCACATCCCCCCTGTGCTCGCCGCCGAGGTGGGGCCTGCGGCCAGGCGCGGCCGAGGCGCATTGGAACAAAGGGGTGCCCGTTGGGGCGCGCCAGGGTCGGCGGGGTGACCGCAGAGGGCCCGCGGGGCCTGGGGCCTGGCGCCGTGGGGACCAGCGGTGGCGCCGGTTCCGGGTCCTTTGAGACGAGCTGCGGGGAAGTCTGCACCCGCGGCGTTTCGGAGGCGACGATAGGGACGAATAGCCCAGGGGGGAGCAATGCAATGTATCCGCGGGCGCCGATGGTCTATGTCTTCGGGGAGGCTCCCAGGCGAATGCGTGCAGTGCCCGCCCCTGGGCTATTCGCCCTTACCATCGCCGCCGAGCGTGCTCACTGTCTTGGTTTGGCTGTGGAGCGGGATGCATCTGGAGGGGGGGGTAATGGCTCGAGGTTCGAAGTCCTAGGTTTTCGGGCGTTTTCGTCGGTTCTCGGGGGTTTTCCCGCCTCGGCGTGCCTTCAGCAGCTGTGCCTCGCCGAGGGCGTTCCAAGGGCGCCAGGATCGTCCCGAATGGCCGTCAGAGGCCCGAGTTATGGCCAGAAAGCTTGGGAGCGGAAGGTCAGGGTTAACGTTAGAGGAAGGTATAGGCTCAGGGGGGAAACATCGATCACCAATCGGCCACTGATCGCCGATAGGGGCCTGATAGCCTACCCCGCCCAGGAATGTGCGGTTTCGCAATCGAGGGCCTGTCGCCGATCTATCTGCGATGTCTCGCCGATGCCAACTCGATGGCCCCGCGACTTCGCTGGAGCGCGGGGTGTCCGGGGTCCTGGCCAGGGCGGGGCGGCCAGAGGGCCCAGGGCGTCGCGGGGCCCGTGCAGCGGTGACGCTGTCGCCCAAGGGTGCAGAGCCGCACGCTTGAGACAAACAGTCGGCGTCTTCGGTAGGCTTCAGTCGTCGCTTGCTGCCGGTCGGGGGGGGGGCATAGCAGCTCCTTGGGGTACCTTGGGCCAGGGGCACTTCCAGCAACCAGAATCGGAGTCTTGAAAGATCGTCGCCATCGGTGGGCTTCTGCCAAACCTGTTACGTGACGGCCCAGCGCAGACCTTCGCTCTTATTCGCGTCTCAGCGGGCTGTGGCGTGTTCGTGCCACGAGAGCTCCTCAGCAATGCTGGTCTGGCCCCTTATGGTGACTGTCGGTTCGCGTGTTCGATACAGGGTCGAACTCTTCGACGTCTGAGCGTCCCTTCTTCCTCTCGGCCGTCCCCCCCCCCAAATTGCCCGCCGGCCAATTCGCTAGTTAGTGCCCCTGTCTAGCTTCTCGCTGGAGCGGAGTTCGCCGCCTCGCCGCTGACGCAAATAGTTCGGCACAAGGTACACGAGGACCGCTTTGAGTTCAGGAGGGTCTCCGGTTTTCGGGCCGTTCCGGGACACCTGCTCGTGGCCGAGGCCGTGGCCCAAAGAGCCCCTTCGTTCCTTATTCGGCGCTCCTGTAGGGTGCTACCAGGACTGTATCAGTGGATGTAACTGGTCCGACCTCTCCCCATTCCTCTCTCTCTATCGCTCCCCCCTGCATGCTCGTGCACTATGTGCCCTGGATTCCACTCTTGGCAAGCGAGACGCCGCGGGTGAGCGGGCAGCTCCGGCGGTGGAGGATTTTGGAGCGTCGTCGCGACGCCTGCCCCATGCTCTCTTGTGGCCCTCCACCGGCTGCCTCCGGCTGCTGCTCCGACTCCTTCTGCTTCTCCCCCCTCCACCCACCTCCTCTTGCTTCGGGGAGCATTTCATCATCATCCTCATCCTCATCATCAGCATCATCATCATCGTCATCATCATCATCATTATCATCATCATCGTCATCATCATCATCATCATCATCACTGTCACCATGCACATCATCATCGTTATCATCATCAGCAGCATCATCATCCGCATCATCATTGTCAGCAGCATCAGCATCGTCATCATCATCCGCACCAACATCAGCATGAGCAACAGCAGCAGCATAGACATCAGCGTCAGCATCATCACCAGCATCACCATCACCATCACTGTCACCACCGTTACCACAATCATCATCATTATCATCATCATCATCATCATCATGATTGTGACCATTGTCATCGTTCCCATCATCACTATCACCATGCCCATCACCAGCACCGTCATCATCACCATTATCATCATGACCATCAGCATCCGCATCATCATCATTCTCCTGATCATCCTCGCCATCACCATCACGAGCATCATCATCGCGGTCATCATCACCATCATCATTATCATCATTATCACCACCACAATCATAGCAGCTACCACCACCATAATCATCAACATCACCACCATCATTATCACTACCATCGCCATCATCATCAGTATTATCATTCTTATCATCATCGTCACCGTCACCGTCACCGTCACTGTCATTGTATCGTCATCGTCATCGTCATCGTCATCGCCATCGTCATCGTCATCGTCATCGTCATCCCCATCGTCATCGTCATCGTCATCATCATCGTCATCGCCATCGCCGTCACCATCACCATCATCATCATACCATCATCATATCATTATCATTATCATCATCAGCATCATCACCAGCATCATCATCATCATCATCATAATCATCTCGTCGTCGTCGTCATCACCATCATCATCATCATCATCATCACTTTTCCCCCTCGACTCGGTCTTCCTCGGTCCCTTCGCCACTGGTCTTGGCTGAAGCGCACCTGGGCTCGAGAGCGCGTGCGGAGTCCTTGCATTCTGCTGGCGCCTGGCCTTCGCAGGCACGCAGGACATGACAACAGGACGTTTTGGAATTGAGCACTCGTCGGCCCAGCGGGACGTTTTGGACTATGCGTTACCTGCCGCTGCTGTTGTCATGACGCTCGCAGCTCCATTCATTACGTTTGCAGCTTTGGGTCGAGGGCCTGTTCTTCAGGAGCTGAGAGCGGCAACGGGTCGGTGGCTTTCGCTCATCTCTTTGGTGATCACACTGTTGTCCCCGATGTTCTTCATTTCCAACTACTATCAGACAACACTTCTGCAATATGGTGTCTATTCGGTGCTGCTGTCTCAGGCGACCATCATGGCTGACCGAATGGGCAAGCGCCGAGCACTGCCGCCGCTGCTTGTCTGGCACTCGATCAACCTGCTAAATCTCATTGGCGGGGGCAATAGTTTGCTTCTCTTCTACGGTCTTGGACCTGGGGGGTTGATCAGGACTATTATAATTGCTCCGCTCATTCCGCCGGCCCGTATTGTGCCATCGTCGGCGTTTGCGTGTGCGTTCGTGGGCCACGCGGCGTTGCTGGTCGGCGCTGCTGCGGTTATGGGTGAGAGCCCTCATGGATGCTTCTTGGTGTCTCTTCAGAGGGCTCTCGGGGGACTCCAGTGTAGCATTTTTAGGGGCGCCTCATGGGGTCTATTGGGAGCTCCTCGGAGGCCTGGGGGGACGCTCTAGGGGCGATTTTGAGGCCGAAGGCCTATTGAAAGCTCTTCTGAGGCTTGGGGGGGGGGCTCTGGGGGCGATTTTGAGGCTGAACGCTCAAAATGTCCGTTGGGGCTACCCCTTGAGGGGTCGGTGTCTTGGGACACGTTGGGGGCCTCTTGAGACGCTCTTGAAGGCCCTGAAGGCAGCCCCCCAGGAGTTTGGGCAGCCGTGACGGGGACCGCCCGGGGACCGCCCGGGACTTGCCCAGGGTATTTTTCGTGCGGCAGCCACTTGCGCGCGAACTAGAGAAGTATTCTACAGCTGTTACCCGAGATTTAGCACGCCTTTGGTCCGTTGGGCTGGAGAATTTTCATCATCTCTCCATACGGCGATTGCCCAGACGGTGATGAAGCTGTGAGCTATTGCTCGGACAACTGGATCGCCGCGCAGTTGCTTGCTGGCTTCCTGTACCTCGTCCTTCACATTCTTGCCTTCTTTATCGTGGGCATGCGTGTCGCTCACTCATACGGTGGGGAGGATGACAAGCCCGTTGAAGGTGTTATCAGCACCATAGATACGTAGCGTAGAGAGAACGGGAAGATCATAGGGTTCCCTCGCCGGCCACATGGGCCAGATATCAAGGATATCCAGCTGCCTGCGTCAGTCCCGCCATAGTGCCAGCCCAACTTGGCGACTGTTCGAGGGGGCACGGGAGGCCGTCGCGTGTGTCACCTCGTGTCTCCAGGCTTGGGAAAGCCGTGATGAGGATGGTGAGGATTAGGAGTATGATTCAGATGATGCTGCTGCTGATAATGATGATGATGGTGATGATGATGATGGTGATGATGACGATGCTGATAATGGTGGGTGATGATGGTGCTGCTGCTGATAATGCTGATGATGAGGATACTGATGATGATAATGCTGAGGATTATGATGCTGAGGATTATGATGCTGATGATGCTGATGATGCTGATGATGATGCTGCTGATGATGATGCTGAGGATGTTGATGATGATGATGATGATGATGATGATGATGATGATGACAACGATGGCGATGATGATGGTGATGATGATGGTGATGGTGATGATGATGCTGATGATGATAATGATGATGAGGATGACGATGATGCTGGTTAGGATCATGCTGATGATGCTGATGATGATAATGATGATGATGATGATGATGCTGAGGATGCTGCTGATGATGATGATGATACTGATGATGACGATGATGATGATGATGATGATGATGATGATGATGATGATGATGATGATGAAGATGATGACAACGACGGCGATGATGATGGCGATGATGATGGCGATGATGATGGTGATGATGATGGTGATGATGATAAAGATGATGCTGATGCTGATGCTGATGATGATAGTGATGATGAGGATAATGAGGATGATGATTAGGATCATGCTGATGCTGCTGCTTGTGGTGGTGGTGCTGGTCATGCTGCTGCTGAAGATGATGCTGCTGATGACGATGAGGACGTTCGTGACCATGATGATTATGCTGATGATAATGAGGATGCGGATGACGAGGACGATGTCGGTGTTGGTGGTGTTGGTGGAGATGATGACGATGCTGATTATGATGATGATGATGATAATGATGATGCTGACACTGGTTATGATTATGATGATGTTTGATGCTGATGTTGATTATGATGCTGATGCTGCCAATGCTGATGATGACGATGCTGATGATGATGAAGATGATGATGACGATGATGATGCTGATGACGGCGATAAGACATAGGGTGACGATGCTAATAATGATGCTGGTCAGGATGAAACTGACATTGATGATGGTAATGGTGATGATGACGACGACGATGACGATGATGATGATGACGATGATGACGATAAGAGATGCTTATGATGATCATGCTACTGCTGCTGATGATGCTGATGCTGATGCTGATGCTGATGCTGATGATGATGATGATGATGGCGCTGCTGCTGCCGGCGACGACGACGATGGTGCCGATGCAGATGATGATGCTGCTGCTGCTTGTGATGACGATGCTGCTGATGACGACGACGATGATGATGCTGACGATGATGATGATGACGATGGTGATGATGGTGGCTGATGATGGTGCTGCTGCTGATTATGATGATGATGAGGATGCTGATGATGATGATGATGCTGAGGATGATAATC